GTTATCAGCGGTTGAGTTTTCGGAAGCCGCGACTGATAAATCTTCGTCACGATATGCGTCAGCATTTCCAACCTTGTCTGCTTCCGTAACCCGATACACTGGTATGTCTCCATCCAGAACTTCCACCAAGTCACGTACCTCCATACGGTCGAATTCTTTGAAATCTTCGGGAACTTCTGACTGCACAGGTGTACTTGTCAATGTCTTGTCCTCCTTTTCCTTGACTGTACGATGAAAGTTTCCCCAAAACAGTTAAAGGTCATATTCGTTATATCATAGAGGCACACATACGATGGATTTGAAGGGAATACTTCAATATTCTCTCACATTTCAAACAACTGAAGCATTAAAATATCTTTGAAATCAGCATCTAATCAAATCCGTTCAAACAAGCTCGAAACGAACTGTGGAGTAATTTAACGGTAACAATATATTGCGAAGAACACCATTTAAATCAAAAACACCAAGATACTCTGGCCTGGGATAGGATGTAATAGAGGTTGTATGGGTGGGGCAGTACGGAGGCGCAGGACAAAAATTAAAAATATAGCCGGCAAAAACAGGAAATAGTGCATAATTCTTTTTTTATAAAAAGTTAATAATTAGCAACGAAAAAGCGTGCGACCATTAGAAGAAGCACAAATGCAACTTGCGGCAAATCGGAGGTAACTTAATAAACCGCTAGAGCAGCTCAGTAGCCACTGGAAAAAACAGCCAATAGGAAGAAAAATGTTAAACTGAAAACCCCAAAAGGTCACAGTTATTTGAGTGGTGTTGCATATGATAGGTTGTTACAGCTTTGACCTTATCCAAAACTGTCAACTCTACAAATGCATGCTCCCAACTCTACTGCACCAAACACAGGGAAGTGTACATGAAAATGGAAATTTAGAGAACCGCACTTTCTTATACATGATTTGAAAAACGTCATTCATGCTCCACAAATTGCAGGGTGAAGCAGAAACATTAAAATATGAATGGTCTAACAATAAGTGTGTAGATTGCATACATAGCAGAAATTAATAGATCCATGAATTTTTAGGGTGCTCATCAGCTGTTTCCTCTCGCTGCGTAATGTTTAAAAAAATACAAATTTGAATTCCTACAGAAAAGGTCAATAAGGTCCTAGGACCTGGCCAGGAAGGCTAATCAGTAATGTAAGCATGTTAAAACAAAGTGGAAAGTAAAAATGTACGTGCGGATGCAAGTCCATAGGGCGCACACAACGGCAATTGTTAGCCAGAGCCAAGGAGCACTTGCCTAGTTGGATACTGAAACAGGAAAAGTACTGAACACATGCTGCATACGGTCATTCTATGGACTCCAAAACTTCTTTCCGAGTACTTGTTCGGGCACAAACAACTCGTACCTTGCGCTATGCGGGGGCAGCTTATAAAGGGTGGTCAAAACCCAACCTACGTTAACAATTGGAGCATGTGGTTCACCTAACTTCTGGCTCCCTGATTTACACATTTCTTAGCCCATTTTTTTCGCTTCAATATGTTTTCTCACTTTTCCTTTCTACTCTGTTTTAACTTGCTTACTTAACTAGTTAGCTTTCGTGACCAGGTCCTATGATCGCATTGACCTTTTCTGGAGGAAGTCGACATTTTTTATTTTCTCATAGCTTTCTCACGTTCTGTAGCGAGAGGAAGCAGCCGATGAGCCCTCTCCCAATGTATGGATCCATTAAATTATCCTGTTTATGCAATCTTCAAATTTGCACCAGGGAAACGCTACTTTTGAAAAACCTAGCACAAAAGGCCTGGAAGCTAGGGTTAGTCTTCAGTTGCACAAGACCTTCTGTGTGTAACCAAGCAAGTAAGTACTTACAGAAAGCCCCCTAGCAGAAAGTAAGTGAAGCTACAATTTCAATTCCCACTTGAGGTCTAGGGAATGAGAGTCCAGCGTCACAACCAACTTTAGCCACCAGTAATAATAGCAGTTCTACTATCACTCCGCTACACGGCTAGTAAGCAGCAGTATAAATAGTAGTAGCAAAACCAGCCTTTGTTTCCTTGAGTCTGGCTTGACGCCGACTGAAGATGAGTGAGGGTAAGTATTGCGGTAGTACCATTGCAAAAGACTACTGCTACTTAAGACTAAGTTCTGGTCTGCAGACAACGCCTGATTCATGCTCGGTCATCTAGACTTTATCTTTTCACCTGTTTAAGCGGGGAGAGGGTTTAGAGTGTTGTAGATGGCTGCTCGTCTACTCTCCCTATACTTGACTACACAAAACACCCCTGCTCTTCGGCATATAGTAGATATCCTCGATTTCGGTGTCAACTATCCCACATACTTACATGAAACCCCAACACTGCAATTAATTTAAATTTTTAAAAAACGCGATTACCTATCTTTCCTGCCGCATCCGATGCCTCAGCAACCCCCACTGCAGAATCGTCTTTTTCATCTTGTTGTCCGTCTGCCGCTTGATCAGTTGGTGTTTCTGCCGAGCCCGACACTTCGACACTTAACTTCTTCCTGTTGAATATTTCGTCCTCTTCTCTGTCCTCTGGCAGGCTAGTCGAAACACTGTCTTCCTCTTCTTTAGCTGCGTAATGAAAGATTTGCCTTAACTTGATATGCCCAAGAGTTTAATCGCGGAAAAATATAATTTAGAATAGCTACGTAGAATGGGTTATTAATATAGCAAATGTCAGTGATTTTCAACACAAGTAAACGACTGCTTAATCAGCCGATAAACCAATGTGACGTACGAAGAGACAACCTATACTTAATCCCCTAACAGAAAAAAACCAACCGCCTTCCGCTTGCGTGTTGCCCATTTCCCTGCACCAAGTCGTGGGAGGCCGTTGAGACAAGTAGTCGTTGAGCACTATTTGTGAGTGTGTGTAAAACTATACGCGTGAACAGCCACAAGTTAGCCAATCAGAAGGCAGGTGCTGGGCGATGCCCAAAAATCCCACCGGTACACGTGTGCTTAAAACAAAACCGACCTCAGGGCCTGTCCGAAGGTAGAAAAGCACACAAACAGTCATTTAAACAGGTAATTACGTTAATTCTTGGAACGAGAGTTGGAGCATCGGGAGAGTGGTCTAATACGTGGAAAGAAGGAGGAGATTCCATCACTGGGATGACACTATTAGTCGCCTGACGTTGTCTAATCCGTCGCGGTTTCTTCATCAGAGACATTAACAGTAATAGGTAGCAGAACCGGATAATTCATGCAGAGGGGGTAGAAGTATTTATAGGTTACAGTAAATTTTGTTGAGCACAATTGTGAACATCCAATTATAAATACCGTATAGCCTGTGCATGTCCCCACCCCATCTGCGCATGACCATGACCATGTTATCATCGCCTATGATTGAGGATTCCCGAGAGAATCCGAAACGTCAGGCAAATAAAACTCTTGTTCCAGTGGTTGCATCTTCTTCTTCTGAACCGAAGAACTGCAAGTTAAATAATTGCCCTCTCAAGACACTTTATATTCTCATAATTTATAATTTACTGCTCTCTGCTAAGCCACCCTGTGGAAATTGCAGACAGACACAAAGCTGCCAGGCGCAGCAGGGTACTGAAAATCAAAGATCGGCTTAATACCAAAAAACAATCTGGCGTAAGGTATCGCATCCCATGCCTATGCTGTCCTTACACAGGTTAAATTGAACGCATGCTCGGATCTCGTGTACATGAACATAAGCTGGCTGTACGACGGAGTGACGTGCTATTACAAATGGCTGCCAACACCTACGAGATGGGTCACGAATTTAACTTTCAGCCGCGAAGATAGCCGCCCACGCCGAAAAGCAAGACGAACCGAGAATTGACTGAAGACTGATAGAAGGATGGGAACTCAATCAGTCGATGTATCGATTTGGAGCCGGCGTACAAGGCCCTACGCAGTCAGATATAGATGTGTGGCACTGGCAGCTGATGGTTTTATACCACCTGTAATTGACCCTTTTTGTTGCCGCTGTTACCTCTGACGATGAACTCCTTTTAGACTTTGAAAGATCAGCCCCCTTCCCTTTACCCCTTGTTTTACTTATCTTAATCGCGCAGTTATCTTTTTGGTCGTATTTTAAAAATAGGCAAGAATTATAAAGATAGGCAAGGAGAGACTCCCGCTCCAGACCGCTCCTTTCAATGTGTATCTACGCCCTTGCATGCTCCTGTGGGGCAGGTTACATTGGTCGAACAACTAGGTG